TCCACTCTTCACCCAGCCTGTATTTGTGCATGGGATTGACTTGACCCATGTGCAGGACCTTGCACTTGTTGTACTTCATGAGGTTTGCACAGACCCACCTCTCGAGGTCCCTCTGGATGGCCTCCCTTCCCTCCAGCATGTTGACAGCACCACCCAGCTTGGTGTCGTGGGCAGACTTGCTGAGGGTGCACTCAATCCCACTGTCCATATCACCAACAAAGATGTAAAACAGCACTGGTTCCAACACCCACCCCTGAAGAATGCCACTTGTCACTGCTCTCTGCTTGGACATCAAGCCATTGACTGCAACTCTGAGTGTGACCATCCAGCCAATTCCTCATCCAGCAAGTGGTCCATCCATCTCTCCGATTTAGAGACAAGGATATCATGTGGGACAGTGTCAAAAGCTTTGCACAAGTTGCTCTTCCCTTATTGACCAACGATGTAACCCTGTCACATAGAAGACCACCAAATTTGTCAGGTAGAATTTGCCCTTAGTGAAGCCATGTGGACTGTCACCAGTCACCTCCTTATTTTCCATGTGCATAGCTTATTTTCCAGGAGGATCCACTTCATGATCTTGCCAGGCACAGTGGTGAGACTGACCAGCCTGTAGTTCCCTGGGACTTCTTTTTTTCCCTTTTTAAAAATGGGGGTTATGTTTCCCCTTTTCCAGTCAGCAGGAACTCCACCAGACTGCCATGACTTCTCAAATATGATGGACAGTGGCTTAACCACTTCATCCTCCAGTTCCCTCAGGACTCACAAATGCATCTCGTCAGGTCCCATGGACTTGTGCACCTTCAGGTTCCTTAGATGGTCTCAAATCTGATCTTCTCCTATAGTGGGCAGTTTTTCATTCTCCCAGTCACCACCTTTGCCTTCTGTGACTTAGGTGGTGTGGCTGGAACCCTTGCTGGTTAAGACTGAGTCAAAAAAGTCATTGAGTACCTCATCCTTCTCCATGTCCCAGGTAACCAAGTCTCCCTCTTCCTTCCAGAAAGGACACACATTTTCCCTAGTTTATGAACTGGGACAAGCAGCATATATTTTGTGCTTCTTTGGGTTTATTTGTTTGCTTTTCAGTTTTACCAACATTTTGAGGTCAGGGAAAACATTAACTGATAACATCCACTTGAGATGAAAGCAACATCCTGCAAATTTATCTAGTCACTTCAGAACAAGGGTGGGAACGACCACCTATGACATGGCAGTTTTCACCATCAGACTGATCTTTTACGCCAGCTTAATTATTATTGCATGCCCAAGGCTTCACAGTTCACTTTCTGCTCCAGGTTTTAACTAGTAACATGGTTAACCATCCTTCTTCTATCACTCAGCCCCTGAGCTCTGGACATCTTTAAGTATTTCCTATCAGCTGTATCAGGACTCTGACTCACAAACAAATGGCACCAGCCTGGGAGATACATGACTGCCCCAGCTGTCTGCCCCACCCTGCTTAGCACAGAAATGGCTCAGCTGTTTGTAAGCCAGCTGCTAAACTACTGCCTCCTACAGAACAACATTCTAACAAACAGCTGCCAGTTCTAGCTCCTCTTACAAAAAGGTACCAGATGTTTGTGCAGCAGAAGAGAACACTGGACATCTAAGGCAGTTGCTCATTTCTTACAAGCTCTTACTTCCTCACTTTTAAATCAAGGCTCTAGCAGTGTTTTGTCAAAATAAGCATCACTGCTGGTTACTATTTTTTATTTCTCTGTCCTCAGTTATGTTGGGAGACCTGTTCTATTTAGCATCTCCATGCAAATCACACAAAGCTGTTAAGCTTTTTCCCTCTCCTTTCTCTAGATCAGTACTGAATATGCCAGGAGATACTGACTCTATCATTTGCTACAAATGCTACAGATATTATTTCTTCCATGGAAAAATGTAAGAGACAGATTTGTAATACTGTACCCCTATAGCATTCTAGAAAGCAACACTTATAAAATTATCCTGCAGGACTTCAGTGGTACCAGAAGGCACCAGATCAGTAAGTTAATGGTGCCACAGACTTCCTGCTTCTAAAGACAGCACAATGATGAGGAGAAAAGATGGCATCCCATGTCAGACAAGACAGCTTTTCGTGCCTTAAGCAGGTGGTAAACTGAGATTACTGGAGAGGACAGTGAGGGCTTGTACCTGGAACAGTGCTGTGGTATGAGCTTATTCAGTCAGAATGCTGCCTCCAGTAATGGAACATGTCTAGGAGGGAAAAAGATAATGAAAGAAAAGAAGGCAACAAAGGCATCAAGACACAGATTGTCAATGCACAGAGAAGAGCTTGGCTGACTTTTCGGTGAAGTAGGAATCATTTCCACTCAGCAATCAGCAGTGTCATCTAAAGAGCTGTAAGCAGCAACTCGACCCTAAGGAGGCTAAGAAACATGAACATGAAGTCTGTGTATAGGCTAAAACACACCTATCTGTGCAATTTTAAATGTATTCAAACAAAACAGTGCAAGTTCTTCATATTGGCTTGGTACACTTTAGCTTGGTAAAAGTATGTTTGCTGGTAAAAGCTACTAACTTTAAACTGATAACAAGTTGCCTCACAACAGGTGAGAAGTATATAAATTGCACATAGTAGAGGCACTGGGACCTGGAACATCATGCCCTAAAGAGTAGTACCACATGAGCCACTTCTCTGTGGGAAACAGTGAAATGGTTCCACTTTTGTCAAGGGAAAGGGGTATATACAGTTCTCTCTAACACCTCACCCCTTGGTTTGATAAGCTCTGTGCAAGTTGGTCAAGGGGCAGCTAAACAACTATACCTCAGAGGCAGGGCTAGCTCCACATAGAGCTTGTCCTGTTCTGTGAGCTAGCTGGATCATAAGCAGTGAAGATGGAATCAGGGACTATATTTATTCTCCCTGACCAGTCATATCTTTCTATAGATCCCAGGCTGTGCCCTGCTTCCTTGGCATGGATCCTGGAGACTAGTAAGCAAAGGGGGGCATAAATCAGTGCCTCAGGCTCTGTCAGGAGCACGCTGAACCAAACAGCCATGCTGGGAACAGGTGCACTGGAGGCAAGCAGGGACACGGTCCCATTTGGAGTAGTGGGGGAGGGCTTGCAGAAAAGCTGTTAATTTCTTCTCCTAGAGCCTAGTCTAAACTTTCCATCCTGCAAGCGGGTTATTTACCTTCTGCAGCTCACCAGTACAGTTAACTAAAGACTTTCCACTAAATACCAGTCCGTGATAGGTCAGGGCCCAGCTAAGACTCCTTGGTTTCTGTAGTCCATTCTATTTCACTTTTCCTTTTGATCTCACTCTTATTTCTTTTCTGGTCCATTTCACTCTCTGTTCTGACATATTCACTCCAAAGCTGAAGTATTTCAGGGGCTGTGCAGAATGATTAGTAAATGAAGACAGTCTTAAAACACAACTGTAATTTTTCTCCAGTAATTTTAAGTCACCTTCCATGAAAACTAGTGTGGACTTACCACAGCAAGGAGCACGTCACTAATCTCTGCTTAGTAACCATGGGGTGGATTTTCAAGTAATATTTTAGTTTTAATAAAATTTTAAGCAAACATTCCTTCTGAAAGAAGCAATCCTACCCTCACCTCAACCGTGGCTGCTCATTCCCACTCTCATCATCCTTTCTTTACGCATCATCACAAGCAGCTGTGCAGTGAGACAAATCAGGCAGCATGTGCGAATTAAAGTTAACTTTTTTCCCCCCTTTCTGGCTGTATTAGTTTTAAGCTGGATCAGATACCTGGTCAGTTCCATAACACAACCACAGAAACATTTGTGCCAGCATAGAGCAGGAATTGATGTCTACATAAGAATATTGACACTTGCTGAACCTCAGTGTGATCAGCCTTACTCAACATATATTGCTCTGTACAGGTACAATGACATATGTATCCAGTAAAACCAACCATTGTAGATAAGGCTGTGTAAACAAGACACCACCCATGCCGCCATAGTGAGAATAATCTATTCCCTAGCTCAAGGAACAATGGCCCAATGGGTGGACAAAAGCCTGCAGAATGACTTGTGAAGTGCTTCCTATGAAGCTTCACTGCACGGTGCACCCATGATGGGGCCTGCAAAGAGACACAGATTCCAACGCAAAGGAAAAAAAGCAAGTACTAACTGGGTAGGGAAGAGGGCTGCCTTCTGTAAGATGAGAAACAGTTTTAACACCTTGGGACTTTTAACTAAATATTGTGCACTCTCAGCCTTTGCCTTGATCTTTAGTCACAGAAGTAGCAGGGGGCTTCTTCCAATACTGAGCTAGAGAATCCAGATCAGACCAGCTTTCTTGTGGGCAAAATCAAGAAAGCAATCTTAGCTGTTTAATAAGTCAAAAATCCAACTCAAAATTATGTCTAACACCTAAAAAGTTGTCATCTACTGCAGCTGTAAGCCAGCACTTCTCTGCATTCAAGGCTGGATGTATAGCTAGATAGCTGAGAAGAACCCACAGATGAAAGACATTGATGCCAGGGCTATAAGAAAGTGAAGTAGAATGAAAGGGAGCAGCCAGAGAGGTCTTTTTTCTGCCCTTCTTAAGATCTGAAAAGTGTATCTAGTTAACAAACTGTAGGTGTTTGCACACCACCAGCAGGGCCATTCAGGGATTCAGGGTCTGAACTTCTGCCCTTTAGCACCAGAGTCACAGACCTTTACCTGTTAGGATAACAATGTTGGAGTCAGCGGCGACAGATGCTATAAAAGATAGACTCAGTCACACCATGAAGCCATTATATGGTACCTATCCAAAGATTAGTTCAGTAGCATGCCCAACTCTGGGATCTACCTTATTGATACTCTCCTGAAAAAGACACCTATAATTCTTTCTGATCTCTGAGTGTTAAAATCTTCACTGATTTTTCTAAATACAACTTGAAGTAACCAGCTGCATCAACTTGGGAATGCCTGAGAGAAAAGAGTTAATTCGGAACATTATTTGGTACAAGGCAAGCAGCCTGCACAGGGCAGGCTACCTGGAGTGTTGTGATGTTCCCTGCCTTTTCCCTTACCATACATCTTGCCTTCGTCTGACAAGATAATCTTCCGCCGTCCACATGGTGGGTAGATGGCTAGCGCTTCCTGGAAGCTCTGCTCAATGTCCGGACTCCACACACCCTCAGCGTCATTGTCAATGGGTTTGTCCAAGGCCTCGCTGCCCCCCGAGTCGTTGCTCCCCTCAGGGGAGGTGGGAGAACTCCACTCCTTGGAGGTAATGGTGCCAGCTAGAAACTCCAAGGTGCCACGTGGAGAAGCGGACTCAGAACCTGTGATGACAAAAAACACATCTCATCTGTCAGAAATCTTTCTTTCTAGGAAAATTAGGAGATACTACAGAAAAAAAGTTAAAAAACCTCAGTGAGGAGGGTTTTTACTTCAAGTTTACCTTAAACAGAAACTCAACCACGTGCTTGATTTCTATTTATGCTGAGATTAAAACCTTTTCTACAAATTCTCCTGATAAAACAGCCTGGTCCCGTATCTCTTTAGCTCATTAGTTGTCTATCACTTCCCAATTTTCCTCAGACCTGTGTCTTCTTGCCTGTGTCTTTATCTCCCAATTTCTTTCTCCCCTTGCATTATCTAGGTAATTGTTATTTAATTTTCTGCATGCACACAGGTATTCAGTCCATGTGAATGACTACACAAAATAAAGCAGTGTTGAATTATCTAGTCACCACTGAGCACAGGAGATGAAATTTTCTTAGACACTGTTTCACTGGATCAGTTAGTAGCCAGTGTAATTTTTAACACTGATATTTCTTCTTCTCAAGGATCAGCTGCCGTTCTGAAAAGCAGTTCCTGGGGCCAGACAGTTTAATGGAATATCTCCCAAATCTCAGCACTATATCCCAGCAGAAGCAGAAGGCACCATGAGTAGAAGGATAAAGGCACTAGGTTGCAGGTCAAGAATCCTAGGCACTTAGCCTGTTTCTACTGCTCTTCAGAGAGACCTTGGGCAAATTCCTTCAGTTCTCTGTGTCTCTCTGCCCCCTCATCCTTGACCAGTTAGGCTATTAGATTTGCCACTGGGCAAGAGCAGAAACTGGTTTCTCAATGAACCTAAGCAGGCAGCTGCTAATTCTTGAAAACTACAATAAATTATAGTCCTCTTATAAACACCTGCAATAAAGGCTGAAGTCATTGAGTGGAGCTGCTAAAACACACATTCAGAAAGCAACTTCAGACCATACAGACACTTCCAGTCAACGATGACTTCTAAAGGCACAGATCATTCCTGCCTTAATCCCAAAGCTGTTTGTTTACGCTTTTAATATTTTTGTTATCTGAGCTACATAGAACATTCACAAGCCACCAGCTGAGAATCCAGTTAAATGAGAGCATTCAAAACTTCCCTGCATATCATCACATTGAGCTGGGCAGCAAGAAAACCAGAATAAGGCTTTTTTTGCAAGAGCAACAGAACCATCAAACCTGTACTGAACGAGAGACTAAGGAGAGACCTCTGACATGTCAAGTCAGACTAGCTCAGAACTATCACAGTGATAATGTAAAAGAGGACAGAGAAGAAATTTGGACATGGCATATGTCAAAAAGTAGCTAGAACAAAATTTGTGCATTTATGCCATGCCTTAGTTGGTAAATAGGAAAAGCAGGTCCATTCATTCATGAAGTGATTTTTGAACTTCAGAAGTTCAAAAATTCAGGGCTCACAGCCACAGAAATTTTTCTGACATCACCTTAAAAATACATTACATCATATACTCATTTTTAAGACTCTCTTTGGTTTCTTACCTCTTCGGATTTCATGTTTACAAAATCTGCTCCAGGACCACAATGACCAGAATTTTTTTTTTTTTTTTTTTTTAATAAAAGCTGAAATTCTTAGGAATTTTATAATTTCAAAAGCTGGAGTTGTAAACAGAGTTGAGTTGACATCACTGACTCTCAGAAGGTTTTGATACTCCTTAATGACTTCAGGCAGCAGCAGATACCTATATTACATCTCTATAACCCACCAAAACCTCAGGAAACAAGATAAAACTGGGCATTTGAGTAATTTCTAGACATAGTATACTTCCTACACCACGGTGCAGCATTTTAACAAGTGTTTCACATAGACATTTAGAAAACCCAGTACACAACTTACTTTCTATGAGAATGTTTGGACCACATGAGCCACAGGAATAGCCTACCACTGTCCATCCACCCATTTCAGCCTCTACATTAGATTATTTCAGTCCTTTTGACCCATGATACACATTTCCAGAGCTCTAATTAACATGGGAAGAAAGAATAAAATGGGAGGTGAAGGGATGAGCCCAGAGGGCAACTGAGCACCACACAGCTGTTCAACTCACGCCTACCCCCTCAGGAGTGGGAAGGAGAAAATAAAGTAAAAGGCTCTGGAATCCAGATAAGGACAGGGAGGGGTACGGGCAAAAGACAGGCTCATTAGGGGAAGAAAAAGAACATCACTTTAACTCAAACAATCAAAACAACAACACTTAGCAGACAAGGTGGGAGAGTGAGAAGTACCACCACATCCAAAAAAACACCTCCCCCCACCCCTCCCTTCTTCCTGGGCTCAGCTCTGCTCCCAGTCTCTCTGGGTCCTCCCCCAGCAGCACAGGGGTCGGGGGATGAGGGTTACAGTCAGCTCGGTCGCTCCTTCCTTCTTGGGAGGTGGGGGGAATGCAACACATCCCTCCCCTGCTCCACATGGCTCTCCTCTCACAGGAGGCAGTCCTCCGTGAACCTTCTCTGACATGAGTCCTTCCCACACGATGCAGCTGTTCCCACACTGCCCTGTTGTGGGTCACCCCCCACATGTTGCAGTCCTCCCGGTGACAAACTACAACAGTGGGGGGCCGCTTCTCCCCCCCGAGCCCTGGCCTCCTTCAAGTGCAGATGCCTGTCCTGGTGTGGGCTCCTCCACAGACTTCAGGTTGGCCTCTGCTCCACTGCAGATCTTCATGGGTGGTTGCGGGGGGGGCAGCCCTGCTGTCTCACCATGGGATACAGGGAGGGTCTCTGCTCCAGCACACCTCCCCTCCCTCCTCCTCCTTCCTTCCACTGACCTGGGTGTTCACATAGGTGTCCTTCTCATATCTCCTCCTCACAAGTCCCCAACCCTCTCTCAGGTTCCCCTTCTTAAATATGTTCTCGCAAAGGCACAGCCACCATCACTAATTGGTTCAGCCTTGGCCAGAGGTGGGTCTGACTTGGAGCTGAGGGAGCTTTCCAGAAGCTTCTCTGAGGGGCCCTCACTGTAGACACCTCCCCTGCTACCAAAAACCCCATCGCTCAAAGCCAGCACAGGGGGGCAGAAAGGGGAACTCACCCTGGGCCTTTACCACTGGGACAGACATCCCAAGCACTCTGTGAATGGCACCAAAGCAGGCAATGCAACCTTAAAAGACCCTGAAATGAACAGTAACAGTTGCTTCCCTCACCAAGTATCTGTCACCAATACATCCCCTTTCACTGGAGATTGTCCTGTTGGAGAATCAGCATAAAGGAGTAAGCTTTCCACAGGGGGACTCCGACAGAGAAACAGAAGCTATCTGTTCCATCTGTTCTTCTTTTGATATTTCCCCAGGAATCCCTAGTCCACGGAGGCTGTAAAAACCCTCTGTATTTAATGCACATTAAAATCTCCACAAACACAAGGCACAGACTAGTTTTAACTTAGTCTGACAGACTGAGAAATGGAGGGGTTCAGATAGAAGCCTAAGGTGTGACAGCAAGGGTCATAGTACGACCTGCATTTGGAGCTGCAAGTCTCATCATAGCCAGCAGGCTCCACATCAAGTGAAAACATACTTTAACTGCTCAACTGTATGACTCCCAAAGCCATGGTCACTAAAAGCTATGACCCATGCTATCAAGCCAAATACCATAGCAATGCATACAAGTAGACAAAGGCATCTCCTAGGGAACGTACAGCCATCATAACCATAGAAAGCACATACTTTGATTCCAGTAATTTCCATCTCCATGTCCATGCAGACACAGATGAATACCTAGCAGATGGTTTCAGCATGGCACACACTTATGTTGGAAACTAAGCAAATATATCTGGAGCCTAACTTCCTCCCAGCCCTGCATACAAACCCTAGGAATTGTTGCCTGATCATTTAATATTTTACAAGGCTTCCCATCTGCACCAAGTACCTTTGGTGACAAAGAAAACTCCGGATCCTTTCTGATCCTAGCTCCAGAATAAGTGGAGGAAAAAACATGCTGTACTCAATTCAGTGTCAATTCTCAAGACTCTCTTCTCCAAACAAGAAAGAAAAGTTGCTCCAATCAGAGCAGATGTCACTTGTATATTCAGGGAAGTCCACAAAGCAAGAGACAGAGTACGTGAGTCTTATTTCACATTGCTGTAAATCAAAAGAGATGTGAAACATAAGAGCAATGAAAAACAGAGATTACATAAAACTTGAAGTGACTAGATATTTTTTCTTTTTTAAATTCTTACTTTTTGTGCCTTTACCATCAATGTTAGTCCTACCCCAAGCTACAGTTAAGTGATCAGGCACCAAAATATGCTACTGTGGCCAATCCCAACTTTTCTACACCTCAGGGCCTGATTCTGTTTTTCCTTCTTGGCACTAAAGCTATTCCTGATGGATGATGAGAAAAGTGGAATTGTACAGACTATAAAGTCAAGGAAGTCTTGCCATGTCTAGCTGAAACCTCACTAATCACCCAGGCACTAACACAAATTCACCTTGGTTTTGAAAACTTCTGAATAAATTCCATAGACTGAAATGGCCATGCAAATCCTTATAACTCTATATCTCTAGTTCAGTAAGATGCCAAGGGCTTAAAGGGCCTGCAAAGTTTTCTTTAACAATGTTGCTTAAATAATAAGCTCTGTGTGCAAACCCAGGTGATACTCTATGCTCAGAGGCAATAAACAGTAATATAGGGAGTTCTGGTTGGGTGCTGTCTACTCTGTGGGTCTCTGGCTGAACACTTCAGGCCTTGCGTTTCCTGCCCTGTTGATTTGAACTCTAAACTCACTGGTGGCTAAAGTGGCCATTTATTAAACTAAGCAGAGCAAACTGTAGAGAAGCTAGGGGCTAAACTCTATGGTAAATGGTTTTAGCAGTTGAAAAACTGTCAGTGGAATCACGTATCATCGAAAAAGCATTCTGGTCAAAATCAGAGCATTTTTCAGGAATATGCTAATGTTGAATATGTTATTTATAATAAATATTCGAATAATATTCTTAGTAACTACTTTAACAAAATACAGATGTTTCAGTTGCCATCTAGATTTCAGTTTGCTTCT